AAGCTCTTTAATTTTTTCTGGATAGGGTGTAATATAACTGTTAAAGCCATAAAAGATACCATATGGCACCAAAGAAAGGTAAGAAAAGAGCTCTTTTTTTGTTGTTGTTATTCAATGAACAATCAGTTCTCTATTCTCCTAAGAAAAATTAAGGTACCATTAAGGGAAAAAATTCAGAAGTGTCAAGAAGACATATTCAGAATGGAAAGAAAGTTGAATAGATAAATAAAATGAGGATTCCTTTAGCTATATTTGATGGAGTCCTGCAGAGAAAAAAATTCCATCTAGGCAGCACTGAAACATAGTTTATTAATGCAGTTTCTACCACAGCAGGACACAGAAAGAGAAATTGGTAAAACAGTCACATTAAAAAATTATGACTCCTAAATCTGATCTTTATGAATACACAGAAAAGAAACTGTCCCCTTGAGTCGTCCTTGGGCCATGTTGAGGCAGAGATGCAAAGAATTTTTTTTTTCCTTCCAAAGCCACGCAACAACACTATTTGCTCCCACATGGCAGGAGCAGACCGAAAGTTATGTCCCACCCACATTTAGGGGGTCTCGAAGGTGTTTATAAAAAGACCCTAGGTGAGATTTTTTGTGTGTGTGTGTGGTATGTTCTCCCTGCCTCACCCATAACACACACCTATCACTCTAATGCACTCCAGCTGACTTCCAACTGCCAGTGTCTGTGTATCTTTTTTTTTTTTTGCGGTACGCGGGCCTCTCACTGTTGTGGCCTTTCCCGTTGCGGAGCACAGGCTCCGGACGTGCAGGCTCAGCGGCTATGGCTCATGGGCCCAGCCGCTCTGCGGCATGTGGGATCCTCCCAGACCGGGGCACGAACCCGTGTCCCCTGCATCGGCAGGCGGACTCTCAACCACTGCGCCACCAGGGAAGCCCCCTAGGTGAGATTTTGAGTAGTTCTTCCAATTACGTTTTGAAATATACATCAGTCTTTTGTTTTTAAAGAGTGTAGAAAATTGAAATCTGCTTGTATTCCCTTTGGGGAAAAAATTATAGTAGGTGGTGAACTGGTTATAAATGGAATTTCCCTAGAATCTTAGAGCTGGAAAGGAGTTTACCAATCACCTAATCCAGTATTTTGCGTAGTGTAGACTATGCCTCACTGATGAGTTATTAAATCAGTTTAGAGGGTCACGACTAGCATCAGGAAGTAGAGGAAGAGGGGGAATAGAATAAAATTGAATTGAATATAAAAGTGTGTCGTACAGACTGTTTTGTGGAACTTGTTTCAGTTGAGTGTGTGTGCGTGTGTGTGTGCGCGCGCCCGTGTGTGCATGGGCACGCGCGCACGCATGCTGGGTCACAATGTGAAGTGTGTGTCTTACTGTGAGTTCTGGTGACAAAAATAGTAAACTTACCCGTCTAATCAAACACCCTCTGTTCCAGGTAAGACACCTGGAGCCAGAGAGGGAAATGACTTTCCCAAGTCACATGACTCAGAAGTAGCCTGAATCTCTTGACTCGCAATATCCTTGCCACTTGACTCTAATGATCAAAGTATGCTTGGAGGTGGGTGTCAACTCTTGCCCTGGGATTTCCATCCACCTCGGCAGCTGACATTCTATTTCTTTCTTGAGCAATTCCTGCACTTCTGGGTCAACCGGAGTCCCCACTCTTTCTTTAATACTCCTGCCAACCTTACACCACAGGGATCAGTGGCTCTGTGGGAGCGGGCAGATGTGTGGAGGGACAAATAATCAGTGCCCAGGCTTGGATGATTCATGGCAACTGGGTAGCTCAGAAGGTGTACAATTCCACAGCTTACTGCTCCCTGGAGCTGATGAGCCATATGAGAATCAGAATCACAGCCTCCCTGTGAAAAAGAGGGGGCTGCATGTGACAACTCACACAGAGGGCAATCTCAGAAAGGAGACAACCAGCTGACAACTGTGGGCTTTAGGTAATTCCTGCCAGACTCATGCACTCCGGCTGGTTTTCCTGAGCCAAAATAGAAGCATGTAGAAGGCGTTCTATGATTGTAGAGATACAGCAGCATTATGAAGGAGGAGCCTGCCTGGGATCCAAAATGCCTCTGGTTTTGACTTAAGAGAAGAAAGTGATCTATTCCACGAATAAACAAACACTCCGTGTTGCATTTACCCTGTGCCAGGCACTGTTCTGAGAATGCTACAAATAGTTACTCATTTAATCCACATTTAAACCTCTAGGCCTTAAGAGGACTCTCCTAGCGGCAGTGGTAGGCGGAAGGTGAAGTGTTGAGAGGTGTTAAAATAATTTGTTTTTCTCCCTGATTCGAAGACAGGAGGGCAAGTACTCTTAATAGAGTTTAGAACTATGTCATTGACAAAGTGAATTAATCAACAGTCAAATCCAGGGAATAAAGGTCAACTGCCTACTTTCTCTTGGCAGAAGGAAATTGGAGGAGGATTGTTCTTCTTGCAAAGATTCATCACTTTTTGATGCTTTCCAGAAGTGATGATGGATTTGCAATGATCCATCTACTTAAAAAAAAATCACCATCGTATATTTGTAGTATAGCTGCCTGTGGTACAGGGGGTCTGCTTGGGTCCTGAAACCACCCATTCGAGCCCACATAGAGATCAAGCCTCTGCCCTTGGCCATGTGATCCAGTGCTTTGCATAGGATCATATGCTAGAATAGGGTTCTCAAGCACTTAAAAATTAGTTTATTACTAATTTCAAAAACTGGACCTCATCTTGGACATTTTTAGATTTGGCTTTGATAATGAAAATTAGTAGAAATTTACTGAAGTGTAAGAAAGGCAGGAGTAGTTTTGTTTTGTTTTGTTTTTTTAAGAGCAATAGGAAGTGAGGTTTTTTTTAAAGTACCTATGTGTGTCCTTATGTTTCATATGTTAACATTTAAATCCCGCAATACTCTGATTGAATCTCCATTTCATAAATGAGGGAACTAAGTTAAATGACTTGCTGAAAGTAAATAGGTGAGGGACAGAATTCAGAATATAGTCTGCCTGCAGAACCTCTTACTCTTTTACATCATGCTGCAGCCTGAAAGTTCTTTTTTTCTTTTTCTTCATCTGAAAAATGATTTGGTCCTAGCAGCATTCACTGACCACGGCAAAACATTAATTGATCTTTCCATGTCACAGACTACTGATTATCCACAAGGAATAGCAACAGGTAAAACCTCTTCTCTGTAATTAAGTCTTGGTTCCCTTAACAACTCCACCATGTAATTAAACTTATTTCTCGAACAGGCAGATATGGTTCACTAAAGAATCTGAGAAGAGCCATTTAAATTATGCTTCGTTTCTTGCTCTGGGTTAACCATGGTCAAGTCTGGGCTTGCAACTGAAGTTTAGGAGGAATGTGGAGAATGCAGCTGGCCCAGAATTTACCAGTGCAGAAGTTATATGGGAGTCAGGGTATATTTCCTGTGCATCTGTGAAACTTCTGACTTAGCTCTGCCCATGGTTTTCCTCCATGAACATGTCGGGTAAGCATGCAGATTGCTGAATATTTATCCTTTTCTTGGAGCAGCCTCTGCTGATTTGGGCAGGAAATCTCATATAGTTATCAATCATCAGAAATGGAAAATGTTTCTTTTTGAAAGAGGTAACTATCAGAGGTTTCACATTAACAATGTCTTGAAAAAGATGTATTTGCCATTATCACTACCCTGTATCATGAAAATATTTGGCTTACACTACAAACTTTATGGACTCTTTTTTGAGCTGGCTTAGCAGAGGCACTGAAACATAAGGATGGCATTAAATCGTTAAATTACACGCTGTGTTGTAATGCACAGTGAGAAGGGAAACACACAGAGATTTAATACCATGACGAGTCTATAAAACCCTAGGTTTACAAATGCAAGTCTAATAAAAATCTATTAAAGTAGCCAAAAGTTGCTTTGAGTTAAAGGTCATTAAATAAAAAGAAGATAACAGGCAAGATAATTTGGACCCACATATCAAATAAAATGCCAAGATAAAACACCAATGAGTCATTAAAAAAAAAAAAAGACGCAAACTGACTGCCTCTCTTCTCCCTTATGGGTCAAAAAGAAGCTTAAGAAAATACAAAGACATTTCCTGTTTGAAGTCACCAAGAAGGGTCCAAATGCCAAATACAAAGTATGACACACATTCCTGGTTTCACAATGGCTGCTCTGAGGGGACCATGCAATTAGTACTGGGGGGGGGGGCGGGGAACAGTACAAGGGGGGGGGGGGGGGGCGGGGAACAGTACAATCTCTTAAGAGAGCTGGATGAGTCCAGATGTTGGAGATTATGATCTCCTGGATGCAATGGAATTTATGCCGGGAGATTAAAGAGAAGAATTAATTTATGACTTTCTCTACCTGTATGCAGTATGTGCTCAGCTTATTATCTGTACACATCGTGATGCATGGTACTTACAATGCTGAAAATCAGGTGCAACACGTGACCACAGCAATTAAGTTTAAAGGGGGGAGGCATTTATCATATTTCAGTCTATACATCTGGTTCTATCATAGTTGCCAAATGATTAATATAGGACTAAATTACAGTGAAATCCTTTTATATCACAGTTTTCTTTGCCAGGAAATAGAATACTTTCCGTCCATGTCTCTCTCCACCATCCCACATGTTCTATGCTGAACTCTGAAATTTCCAGCACGAGGGTTCATTTGAGGGAGCAGGACAGGGAATTTGCTCATGTCTTTGTTCAATTCTATAAGTTCCATGGTCACAGCTGGGATATACATGCGTCCTTTGTTTTAAAAGCACATCCACAAGGGAGAAACCTTAGAGCTTATTCTAAAACCAGGCAGGGCATCAGATACCTCAAACAGTTAAAACCACAGGAATTAAATTCTAAATTTTAAACTCCCTTTTATTGAAATATAAGTTTGTTTAGTATATTTACACCACACTTTATGCACATATATACACATAGAAGGCAAATTTTGTCAAATAAAAAAAGTTTTTCTTAATAAAAAATTAAAATAAAAACAAAGTAAAGTGCATGAAACTTTTTTTTTTTCCCTTCTGGTGAACATCATCATTGACAAAATTATGAACGGTTGGGAAGGGGGAGGAAGAAGAAATTCATTATTTGAATCAATGCATACAGCCGGTCCTGCATTTGTAGCCTTCAGGCTGAAATGACAAGCTGTAAGGAACAAGTCAGACAAATTGCCAGCGTCTGCAGGACTCCCTCCATTCTGCAGGTCCTGCTCTCTTTGTCCTATCGGGAGCGGTTCCCCAGCTCTTAACAGTGATCTCACCATCACCAAGCCGGAACAAAGGGAGAACACAGGAAGGGGGCTCCACCAGCCAATGTCATAGCCCTGCTCCGGGGCCACCAGCGCTGCGTTTGGTAGGAAACTTGCAGAATTAGCTCAATGGCGCAATCAGAAGTTTTCCTTTTTCGGAAGGGGAATGAGGGGGGGGGGGGGCCAAGGAATAGGATGTATCTCCCACAGAGACGGCCACCCGGGGGCCAAACTCCCGCAGCAGCCAGTTTCTTTGGATGCGAACTCCGTGCTGGCACAGGGAAGAATCCTTTTATAGGCTGGGTGGAGGAAATGTTACACTTCTCGCCTCGGTGAGTTCGTCCTCCCAGAACTTTGAAAGGACACAGCTTGGGACTGAGAGAAAGGGGCAGGTGGGTAAAGCTGAAGTTTTTAGCCGCCTTCGCGCTCGGGTCTCCGGCTGGGCGTTGGCCGGCTGGTCCCAGGCGGTGGCTGAGGCGACGGCCCTTCCCCCATCATCCATTCCCCAGCCAGGGGTCTCTCTCTCTCTCTCTCCTCCTCCTCCGGGGGATGCTAAGTCCCCGGCCGGCGGCCGTACTTAGCCTTACAGTGCAGAATGTGCTTGGCGAGGAAGTCGAGGCGGCGCTGCAGCAGCTGAGCGTGGGGGTCGGCGAGGGCGGCCAGCTCCGGGAAGCGAGGCTCGTGGTGCTGGTAGAGGCGCAGCAGCCGGGCGGCCGCGTCCTGGCCGCGGTGCAGCTCCAGGACACGCCGCGCAGTCCGCTCGCGGAACACGCACACTGACTGCAGCAGCGGCTCGTTATACTTGTCCCACATGCCCGCCACCCGGTAGCCGTGCACCAAGCCCGCCTCGTTGTCCAGGAAGACCAACGCCCCGCCCGGGCCGCGGTGCAGGTTGCTCGTGGCGCGCTGCATGACCCGCGGGTCCCACTGCAGGCTGAAGAGATTGCTGACAAGCCGGTCAAAGTTGGCCGTCAGGTAGTCGAAGAGGATCAAGTCGGTCCATTGCACCAGGTCTACCAGCTCCGCCCGGCTGCGGTTGGTCAGCTCGCCCCCCGTGGCGCGCAGGGGCCGCAGATGGCCGTCCTCAGAGCGCCAGGGCGCGGGCACCACCACGTCCGTGAGGTTGGGCAGCCAGCGAGTCAGGCTCACCACGCTGCCCTCGGTCCAGTGAGCGGCACGAAGCTCCTCTTGCACCTGAGCCCACTGCACGCCCCGAGCCTCCACCCGGGCCAGTGCCAGCGGCGGCACGTGGTGCTGGAGGCCCAGCAAGCGCGCCAGGTAGTAGGATAGAGCCTCGCCCTGTATCTGCTCGGGGTTGATGCCATAGCGCACGCAGGCGCGGGTGCCGTCGGCGAAGCGGGCCAGCCGGTTGGAGCTGCGCCCGCAGCCCCCGCGCTCCAGGGCCACCACCCGGGCGCCGCGCGCCGCCTCCAGCCAAGACGCCGCCTGGGCCTCCGAGAAGCCCCGGGGCACCTGCTCCTCCAGGCCGCGGCTCCAGAAGACGCCCCCGTGCACCGCGGCGCGTTCCTCAGGCCAGGGCCGTCCGGTTGGCACGTGTCGCCTGCGCTCACCCGGGGGCTGCCCAGGCGGGCCATCTGCGCCCGCCGCCAAGGTGAGCAGCGCTCGGAAAGTTTTCAGGGAGCCGCCGCGGGCGTCCCACACCAGGGGCGGGGGCAGAGGGAAGCGAGGCGCGGGCTCCCGGCCGCCGCTCCGGGCCAGGCGCCGCGGGAGTCGGTCTTCCGGCGGCCGGGAGGCGGGCAGCTCGGTCCGCGGCGGCAGGAGCCCGCCCCACAGCGCCAGCAGCGAGCCCAGCGCCAGCAGCCAGAGCCCCGCGGTGGCGGAGGCGCCCCGCATCCTCCTGCCCATGCTCCCCCGGCCGCGCCGGTGCCGCCGCCGCTTCAAGCCGAGCCCAGGAGCCCGGGTCCCGGCGGCGACGCGGGCTCGGCAGCTCGTTGGCTCCGGGGCTCCGGGCGCCTCAGCTCCATCGCTGCCGCGGGGCGCTGCGGGGCTCTGCCCGGCACTGAGAACTCGCCTCGCCGCCGCTTCCCAGCTGCTTTTGTATTTCGCTGTGAGACCCTCCGGCGGGCGCAATTCACAGGCGCCCGGACCACGTGGGAGCGATGGAGGATTCCCCCTCCCCCTCCTCCGCCGCCGCTCCCCGCCCCCTTCCCCACCTCTTCCCTTTAAAGCGGCGATGGCTCCTTCCAAGCGGGAGAAGCGGTCCCACACTCATTCGGGGACTTAGGGGCCGGGAGCAGGAAGCCAGGCAGGCGGCGCCCGCGCGGGGGCGTCGGAGCGGGCGGCACAGAGCTGGATTCGCGCTGGGTGGGTGAGACGCGCCGCTCGCTCTCGCGGGGGTTGGAGTGGTCGTGGAGTCCCTTTGCCTGGGCGGCTCCTGGCCTCCAGCAAAGTTCAGACTAACCCCCAGCACACTCCCGGCGCCGCCCGGGGTGGATTGGGGCAGGTCCCTTTGCCTTCTTCGTTTCCGACGGTGGGTGTGATTCACCCTGCCTTACGTAAAACCCCGGGGAGCTCTCCGAGCCACTGAGGAGGTGACTCCAGCCGGGTTAGAAGAACCATCTGTAGCAAACAACTTTGAACCGACACCTCCTTTCCCGAGCACGCTCACCACACTGGTCACCGAGGGCTGTGCGCTTTGAGGTTGGTCGTTCCGCCTTTCCCGAGGGACTCACCGGGAATTCAGCCTCACTGTGCAAGAACCCCTAGGCAGGTTCCATTCAACAAACTGTCTTCGGTTCTGGTCACAGAGCATTAAAATCCACAGATGAGGTCCCGTGCTCACGGAGCTCACATTCTAGGGAGATGTTCAGGTTGCCAGGAGAGCCTTACAACTCAGGATCCGACTTAGTGTGGAGGAGGGGGCCTTAGAAACCGTTTCACTACGAAACGATGCTATTTTGACCATGAGGAAACTGAGGAACAGAGATGGGATGGGGCTTACTCCAGATCCCAGAAGTAGCAAGTGGAGAAACTAAAATTCAAACTGGGGTCTCTGGGCAGCATGCCACTTGATTTTCCCTCTATCAAGAAAGTTCACTATTTTTATCAAGTTGCCAGCATTCTCTGTTTTTTAAAAACTCACTGTCACTTTATGCCCCGAATGTGATTTTCAATTCAATGAATGAAAAACAAAAAAGAACAAACCCATATTGTATTTGACTTACTTGTTTAATGGTTTAAGGGAAGAAGTGGTTGGGGGGAGGGGTGGAGGAGCAAAAAAATAAATAAATAATAAAAAAGAAAAAGTAAACAGCAAACCACATTGTCTTCCAGCCACTTTTGGGTTCAATCTACCAGGAAGCCTCTTGGGTAAGAATCGGCTCTCCCTCTTACCTCTCGGCTTGAGACCCTGTCCCAGATCTAAACCAAGATTTCCCAGGTGAGACACAAGATAAGGGGTTGGGGGGTGGAATCCGCCTCAGAAAGCAGGAGTTTGAAATTTGTTTCCTTTCATGTGCTTCTTTTGTCTTTACACCCCCCTTCCCATCAGATGCAACTGGGGGTTTTCAACTGCCTCAGCTCATTACCTGGCACTGATTATATTTTTTTCTCCAAAGAATGAACATTTTAAGAAACCCTAAGGTTTGTGACTAAGCAGAGGTATCCAGAGACCACATCTGGAGACTTCCAGAGCTGACCCAGTATACCCTCAAGTGTTTCCATATTGGCTGAAGTGTGGGGTCTTTGTTGAATCTCTTCTGCACCCCATGGTGGCTGCCTCATGCCTTTGTATGGATCTTATCTGATGATGAAATTACGATTACTATACTACCTTAATTCATTAAAGGTACCGTCTTCCTGCTCTGTGCAAGCTCCTTACCCCCAGCATTCCCTAGAAGGCAGGGACTATATCTTAACAACTTTCTATTTGTCTTACCACCTAATATAGGATATTGCACTAAAAAGGTGCTCAATAAATTGAATTTAATTTTTTGTCTTTTGGTTTAACTTCTGAGAATTTTTTTTTTTTTTGAATGCATTGCTTTCAGCTTGGGTAAACTGTAAGCAAGATCTCCACCTTGTGGGCATTAAGTAGAATATCATCTAACTAGAAAGAAGTATATACATTTTCAGCAGGTCGGTTAATTGTTTAAGTTAAAGTCTGAGACTATTACTTGGCTACCATGGCCCATGCCATGTCCTGGGGGATATGGGGAAATCCAAAGTAGTTGGTGTCTCTGTCTTTGTAGCTGTTAAAAAAATTGTAAGTAACTATAAGGTATAGTTCACTGTAAACTTTGTGAGGAGTCCATCTTGTCTGTTGTTTTATGGCTACCTGGCACAATGCCTGGTACTTAGTGGGTGTTCAGTAACAATTTGCTTTATAGATCATTGGAATGTTAATAAGATAAAGCTCTGCAAGTAGTATGTATCAAGGTATTTTTTTAAAAAACTGCTTACCACTAAAAGATACAAAATAAGAGCTTTCATACATAAAAGGAAAAAAAATTGGTGACGGATCCACATAATGTAAGAGAAGGAAGCACATGATTTTCAATCTGGGAGGGATGACTTCAACTCAGATACCCCAAATCCCAGAATCTTCCAATCACATTACCAGCACTGACGAAGAAACTAAAGCCTTAAAGCAGTCAGCTAGGATCTTATACCTTGGAAGATGGACTGACTCTATTGTAGCTCTTAGCCTGTAGCCACAGGACTGAAGGCACTGGGTACCAGAACAGGATGCACTAACAGAAACTTGAACAAATGCATCGAAATGCAGAATTACAGAAAACCGCAGAAATAAAAGAGAAACAAAAAACAAACCCAAGGTAGAATGCAGTTTAAATGCATTATATAAGAGACATTTTTAGGCAGTGTTTAAAAACACTCCTCTGTTTACCGGTAAGATGAAGACACTCCCATTCTTCTTTACTTCCTGGCCTGAGGACACCCCTCACCTACTGCCATCCCCCTGGGGCTCCTTGGGAGGGCGCAGGGCACAGTTCTTCACGATGTGTGACCTCAGGCCAGCCCCTCTGGCAGTTGCTTGGGGATGAGGGGAGGTGCTGTTCATCTTTCCCTACATAGTAACCTATTTTCACCTGGAGAACTTTCTTCACAGTCCTGAGAATTTCTCCCTGAGCCTCAGCTTCCAATTGCTTCACACTCATCCACAGTCCTGTTTGAAGGATGATCTGCTTCCTAGAACAGTGCCTCCTGGGGAAGAGAGAGGAGGTGGATTTGAGGAGTTGAGGGTTGGGTGTGGGACAGCAGGCTGGGAGTTGGGAGATTTTCTAAGTCTGGTATTTCCTCTTACTGGCTGTTTTCCTTTCTGGCTAGTTATTTCCCTTCTATGAGTTCCAGTTTCCACATCTGAGAAACAAGGATAATAAATCCTACCTCCGTCACAGGATTGTTGTGAAGTTCCTGTGAGACGTTGATAATAACCACCACAACATTCGTAGCAAACGCATATTGAGCGCTTATTATGGGCTTGGCACAGGACTGAGCCCTGCACGTGTGTTCTCCTTTCACCCTCCCGACCAGCAGTCTTGTCCCCACTGTACAGATGGGAAAACCGAAGCATAGCCAGTCACGGGCCTGAAGTCACACAGCAAGTAAATGGCCGGGCTAAGATTCCAGAGTGATGGAGGCCAAACTCTTTGCAAATTGTAAACTGCTAGGAAGATATCAGATATCAAAATTATTGAATTAAATCAAAGTAGATTCAACTCAGATTAAATTTTGCTTTGAAATGTTCTCTGTGGTTGCTATCAAGTGAAACGGTTAAGAGTGTGAACCCTCAAGCCAGATTGTCCAGATTTAAAACTCACCAACTGTGTGACTTTGAGTAAGTTACTTGACCTCTCTGTGCCTGTGTCCTCATCTATAAAACACAGTAATAATAGTGTTGTTGGTATTATTGATACTAATTATAATAATATAATATCTGACGATTAACAGTAATTAATAGTGAAAAACCTTACAGCTTATTGTGGTGATTAAATTAGTTCCTGTATTTAAAACTCTTGAAAGACTATCCAAGAGTCCACTATTTTTATAGCTTTTTAAAAAAATTGAAGTATAGTTAATTTACAGTGTGTTAGTTTCAAGTGTAGAGCAACGTGATTCAGTTATACATGTAGATATCTTCTTTTTCAGATTCTTTTCCATTACAGCTTATTACAAGATACTGACTAGAATTCCCTGTGCTATACAGTAGGTCCTGGTTGTTTATCTATTTTATACATAGTAGCGTGTATCTGTTCATCCCAAACTCCTAGTTTTTATCATTCCCTCTCCTTCCTCTTTCTCTGCTTTGTTGCCCAGATGGGGGTCTCCTTCTTTTCCTGTTGCTGTCCTCCACCAAGCCTCACTCGGGTCTTGAGAGACATGATACAGGTGGCGACCCTGACCAGTGCACCCTCCTTATGCCCCAGATGAGCATCTTCCCTGAAAATTTTGCTCCCTTCCTTCCCAGCTGGACCGTAGCAGGGTTCCCAGTGCAGCTCTTGTTGAAATCCCAGAGCCTCCAGCTAGCCTTGGGCAGCTGCTTTCCTCTCACTACTCTGCCTCATTCAATCCTAACCTTTGCTGGGTCTCCTGAGTTACGAGCCCCTGCCAAAGATAGAGGCCCCCAAATTCACCCTCTAGATGCTTCTACAAAAGGGAAGAGTGGGAAAGACCATGTCAGGGAGAGGAGTACAATATTCCTTGAAACTGGGTATGACTCCTGCTTTAGCTGTTACTAGCTGTGTGACTTCAGGTAGCTTTCGAGTCTCCCTGGGCTGCAGTTTCATTATTGGTGTTTCCTTCTTTTCTACTCTGTCTCTGCCTAGGGTACGTTATTTTTCTGCTTGGGGATCTTTTTCCTTTTCTTGGCATGTCTCTATTTGACCATGATCTGGATCTCCCAAGAATTGCATAACTGTCTCATCTTTACGCACCTGGCTGTCAGGGGCAGGTAATATATACACCTGGCTCTAGGTAAATCTTGCTGGATAGCTAGAAGTAGGCCTGGAAACATACAGTCTTTGCAATCAACCTGTCTGCCTGAATGAGTCCTGGTTTTAAGAACACACTGTGTTTCTGGAAAG